GGGAAGGAGGAAGGAGTGGGAACCGTATTTGTTCAGCTCACACCTGGTTGGACAGTCTTTTCTGTGGAAACCACGAGTCACATTAGAACAGCACTGTTCAGAGCAGTGCCTCGTGGAGCCCATGAGAGAGCAGAGAGCGACTTCTATGACCCCTTGACCACTGCTTTCTGTGTCATCACCAGCTATCTGGTGCCATCCTGCCTGTCATCTTGGGACTCAGCTTTCCCTTGATAAAGCGAATATAATAGTAATCCCACATTGATAGAACTATTGTGACAATGAAGGTGATGGTAGTGTCAAGACAGTTCTGAAAACTTCCTGAAATTTTACAGGGGAAAAAACAAAGCAGGAAACAGACCATTTGACCCCTCCCCTCCCTCTTTGCTGGCCCCTCTTGACCCCATCCTGACTCTTCCAGGAAACAAAATCCATCAGATAAATCACAGGGAACTTGCAGCATCTGCATCAGGAAGTAGGTAGAAGGAAAGCTATTTGAGGTTTGTCAAATCAATTAAGTTCTTTTTACTATTGATCTAGACAGGGGAGTGGCTGCTTTCTTCTTCATCTCTCATTTTTGCCACAGAGCAGAAAAGGGAAAGAAACTGTTTACTCCCAATAATATACTCTGTGCCTTCCCTCCACCACTCCCTTCCCTCCCCTATCTCAATCCCACCATTCACAGATCTAGGTAGATAGAGAAGTGGAGGAAATTGCCCATGGGTCTTCTATTCTGTGTCCATCTCAGCCTCTTCTCAACCCACTTCTATGTTTCTCAGAAGTTGCAAACTTGAAAAGATTTTCCTTTCCACCATTTCTATTGTATTGTTAATTCTCTGGGTATAAAATTTCCATTTCATTTGGTGTTCTGGACCACAAAGATGCCCACAGTTCTCCAACCTCCCAGTGTGCCTGCCTTTTGTAAGGTGGCTTTGCATTTCCCCCCGAACATGGCAAGAATCAGTTTCTCATCTCTTAAATATGGACTGGGCTGTGACTTGTTTTGGCTTAGAGAATGTGGCAGGCATGCACAGTGTCATTCCCAAACCCTAGCCTCAAGATGCCACGCATATGCACTCTACAGAGCCCAGGTTAACCCATGGGAGGATGCAAGACAGGTAGAGGCAGGGAGAGACCTCCAGCTGAGACCATCCTCAACCAGTCAGCTCCAGCCAACTCAGCAGCTCACTGAGACACACAAATTAGCGTGGCCAACAACACAGTAGGCCATTTGAGCCCAAATTGCCAACCAGAAGAATCATGAAAAATAGAAATGGTAATCATTTTCCACTAAATTCTGGAGCAGTTTGTTCATTGTAAAGCTATAGGTAGACTAAACAACTAAAAATACAATAAAAATTAAAGATGGTTAACATTTTTCATGCATTTATCTTTGATGAAAATAATGCTCATTTCTCATATTACAGTTTTGCTAACATGTCTACTAGTTGAAGCCCTACGCCAATTAAGTAGATGGACAAATGTTGGATGATGTAAAGAGTTGTCCACAGACACACACACACATGAGATACCAGGTGAAAGACCCAAGTGTCACCAATGCTGACACTGACAAGACAGATTTAGAAGTTACATCTGTCATACTTCAAATATTGTTTGAAATGCTGCACATCTGAAAATATTTTCCACTTAGATAACAACCTAACACAATATAGTATTTCACAGCCCTTCCAGTTTCAGTTCCAGTTCCAAGTGATTGTTTAATTTACTGCTGCATTTTATTGAAGTTATTTATAAAAGTCAAACACAAATATGTTTTATCTACAGAGAAAGGAAGTGAAAAAGAAACCTCTCACCTCAAAAGACAAACTTTGAGCACCAAGATAAAATGTCAGTGCTTATATCAAAAAAAAATTTTAATATTTATTTATTTATGTATGCATACAAGAACTGGGGTGTACAGAGATGTGTGGGGTGAGAGAATTCAACAGAGACAGAGTGAGAGCAGAACAAATGGATCTACTGAAATACATTGCTGAGGGGAGTAGTGGGGAGACCGCAGAAATCTACTGCACCATGTGAGTCAATTCCCAAGCTGGGGATCAAAGTCACACTCCAGTGGCTGTGCATAGCTTCACAGTACTGAGACTAGTTCCAACAGGGAGGCCCATACCTGAAATTTTGTATTTCTTTATCCCATCACCATTTTCAAGAAAATTCACATTTAATGCTCTCCATATTTATTTATCTTGTGTTTATTCATAATCTAGTATGGATCAGTTTGTTGCTAAAAGAAAAGAGGAAAAAGCGAGAAAAATCAGGGCCCTCCCTGGTGGTGCCAACAGGTTAAGGCACAACACTATGAAGCTATTGCAACCACGGCAGCATGTGTTCAATCCCCGCCAGGGAAGTGGCCCACATGGCGCAACAGACCTTTCCTGACCCACTCACAGCTTCTCTCAGCAGTGTATTTCATTGATCTGCCTGTTCTGCTCTCTACTGTCTCTGGTGAATCCTCTCACCCTCCACACCTCTTACCTGTACCCCAGTTCTGTATGCATAAATAAATAAATCTTTAGAAAAAAAAAAAAAGAAGGGAGACAAACCAATCCCTGGCTTCTTGGAGCCTTAAGTCAATTAAGAACTAGAATAATTGATGATACAGGAACAATTGATCACATACATGAATATATTTTACATATATAAAAAACATCTCATGGAACATGAGCAGATACAATGAATTCTAAGCACAAGGAGGGAAGATTAAGTTCCCAAGAGAGGATGCTTAAGTCAGGACTGGTAGGATTAACTAAGATTCAAAGGGAGGAAATAGGCACAAATGCTATGTAAATTAGTTCTCCAAAGTTTTACTCTTTCCAATTACTCCAAATGTGATGCAAGCTATGCGACAGCTATTGTCTGACAGATTCCGGGTAGCTCGGGAAAAGCTCTGAAAGATCAGACTTTCCATGCTAACTTGTGTTATGACCTCCCTTTTTTGTATAATCGTAATATCAAAATATTCTGAGCAACTTTCAGCCTACAATTGGATTGCCTCAGCTACATAAGGCCTGCCTGCCCTGACAAGCAAGCACTGCACCAGGGTGAGAAATTCCTCTGAAGTCAAAAGTGACTTAACTGGCTGATCAATAAAAGCAAAAGGGCTGTTTCTGCAAAGTCTCTCACTGCCTGACAGGAAAACCCAAATCTTATTCTACTATCTCACCTAGCCTCCTATTCAGCTTCTACAGAATTACTCAAACTTCCTACTGTCTGGCTTTAGATATGGAAATTCATCCAGGTTGCCTGTTTTAAGAGCTAGTCAAGTTTTTTTACCTGCTACACTTCAAAGCAATCCACAAAAGTCTTTCTGGCTAGTCTTTCAGGATTCTACTACCTAGTCTTTAGATAAGGAAATTCACCCATGTCTCCTATTTAGAGCAAATTACACTTTCTACTGTCTGGACCTCAAGGAAACTTACTTAAAATCTTTTAGTGAGATTCTTCAAAGACCTTTTCGGAAACTTGATTAGCAAGAAATTTCCTCTTCCTGCGACCTCAGACCATTCTTAGAAAAAAGGTGATTGTGATCTTAACCCCTTTTGTATGCTAATGCCATCCCCCTGCCTGCTGGAAATGTATAAAATAAACCTCTGCTGAAGGCAGAGCAGGAAGATTTGCACCCAACTCCGACTCCCAACTCCGACTCCCAACTCCGACTCCCAACTCCGACTCCCGTGTCTTCCTCGCACCCGCTCCTCTCCCCCTCTTGGAATCTTCCCATGCCGACGCATTCCCATCTTAGGGTCCTGCCTGTGTTGCCTCCAGACACCTCAAAAGTTGGAGCTGGTCTCCGACACAAATGGATTTGCTTTCTCTGACATGTCTTGTATTTGAGGGCAGCAAATGAGCCAGGTCCTGGTCTGGAGGGACAGGCAGTGGGACAGAGGTAGATCTCACAAGCAAGGCAAGGGGTATCTTGGGTTCAAATCCCAGCTAGCTGTGTAACTGGTTGAGTTAGTCAACCTTCACTTTACATTTTTTTTGTAAATGAATATAATGACAGCTGCTTTAAATGGTGTTACAGTGGGTCTAGGGACTTAACTCAAAGCAATGACAATACTTATTTTGCTCGTGAATCTGCTCTGGGGTAGTGTTCTGCAGGACTGGTTCATCAGGGATCAGTTTTCCACTCCATTTGGCATCAGTGGGGGTGTACAGGCTGGAGGTTGGTGCCATCCAATTTTAGTTCACCTTTCCATGGGGCCTTTGGTGGGGCTGTGGGCTGCAATCCTACATGTGGTCTTTCTTTGGGATTGGGGCCTCTCACAAGTTGGTTGGTCTCAAAAGTAAGCATGCCAAATGGAAACCCTATCACCTTTGCTGATCTCTGCTTTGAAATCCTTAGTGTTACCTCTGCTACACACCCTTTGTCAAGGCAGTCAGGGTTCCCCTCAGATTCAAAGAGCAGACTTCCTGCATGATGGGCAGGACAAAATTCTAAAGCACAGCAACCATTGCTGCAGCCATTTTAACTAGACTGTGACCTACACAGACATATCTGTGATGGGAATTCCCATCCAGCGTGAACTATAGGATTCTATGGGGTTAAAAAAAGAAATAACAGACTACTAGGGACAAGAAGAAAAAGAAATGGAAATGTCTGAGAAAGGAAGAAAGAAGAGTAAACCTCAAATTGGGGTGAAGTTCCACCAACAGTGACTATCCTCTCTCAGTAATCAAATGGTTCTTTGCTGACCCATTTCTGAGATGGGGGAAGTGGTGTGAGAATCAAGTGAATTGATCCATTAAAGTGCCATGCCTGGCACACAGTCAGTACTCCACAAATGTGAATGGCCCTCTTTTATTTTCTGGAGGATCCTGAACCGTTCTGGTTTGGCCTAGATGATAAAGCATCATAAACCAAATTCCTCAGATACCTGGGAACAGGTAAACATCCATACTAAACAACCAGCCCCACTCAAATCTGGAACCTGGAAATAAAAAAAATCCGGCTGCCTTTAAGTAATTTCTTTGCTACATACCTTTCATTCCAGTGTCTCTTGGCACTTCAGTACAGCCCCAACATCCCCCAGCATCCTGACGTGCTTGCACACTTTATCTTCTACAGTAGTTCAGAAGTTCAGATCTCTCATCTCCATCTACAATACACAAAAATGACCACTTAGGGTTTTGTATGCATTTTGTTAAGATTTATTTATTTATGTATATGAAAGCTGGGGTGTCGGCCAGATGTGCAGGTGGGCAAAAGGATTCATCAGAGGCAGAGTGAGGAGCAGAACAGGCAGAGTAACTGAAATACACTGCTGAGGGGAGCAGCAGGTGCGTCAGGAGAGGTCTGCCACGCCATGTGGGTCACCTCCCTGATCTGGGATGGAACTCATGCCGCAGTGGATGCCAGCAGCTTCACAATGCTGATACCTCACCCCCTGTGCCACCACAGAGGCCCTTTGTATGCATTTTCAAAATACTATGAACAATTTAAAAAAACTCTGACTACTAACTGGTGGTAGCACAGCAACAGGGTTAGCCAGACAGAAGCAAGGAGCAAAGGGAGTGAGTAAAGTTGGAAAACTTTTGAGTGTTTCATTACTTTATTTATGTGATAACATTAAATAAATATGTGTCAATAAAACAGCTAGATATAACCAACTTATTATTATATCATATACAAGCATAAATTACATAACAATAAAGAATGTAAATAGTACATTAGAAGTGGCAACATTAATGTACCATACGTATTCACATGAAATCACTTCTTGTAACGTGAACATAGTGAAGATGCGTGTTCTGTGAGGGGAACACCAGCCTAAGAGAATAAACCACTGATTACTCTAAAAGTCAACTGGCTCTAGTAAGAGGATCAGAGTAGTGAGGGCTCCCAGAAACTGAGGCTACCAGGGACTCAGCTGACTCTGGGTATCCATCACTGAGTGGAAGAGCAGATGGAAATGCTTACGTACTATAAATTACTCCAACCTCTCTTCCTCTCTCTGGAGTTTCCCTCTACATTTCTCTATCTGACCCACTGAAGTTATCATTTCTTGCTCCCATTAGATGAGCTTGGCCTTCACTTGGGGAAAAGATATTAACTATCCTAAGCCTACTCTGCTCTTTCCTCACTCCCTGTAACCAATTTGTGGGATGATTTGGTCTCAAGGCAAATTAAATAAACCCAAATTACCTAGCCAATCTCGCCTAAGATGCTCAATGCTTCAGGAATTCTCACCCTGGCTGCATGCCTGAGAAGTCTGAAGCAAGCCCCAAGCCTTGGCTATCCCCCCCCACAAATAAGTTACAGCAGAATTGTTGGGGTTGGGACCCAAGCTATTTTCCAAGCCCATTGGGTGATTCCAACATGCAACCTAAGTACAAAAACCAGTATTGAGTGATTTTTAAACTCTTCTAACTTCTGCCCACAAGGATGGGTTATGCACCTCACAACCCAAGCCTGCAGATACACATTGAAATGTTTTATGAATCAATACTTTATGAATGTAATGCTTACATTCTGCTGTTGTATTTAATTTACTTGATTTAAAACAATATTGAACACACCCAACTTCATCCATTCATGAGTCACAATTCCCTCGTGGGTCATGCCCCATACTTGGAAACAACACAGCCTTAGACAGAAGAGAGTTAAGCTAATTACAAATACTACCCTTCAAATAAAAACACATTTCAAAAATGCCCAAAGAGGCTATTTGAACCTCGGAGAAGAAGTCAATACTTACACGTGCAATTTTGAAAACTATTCCTATACTTCAAACTTTTCCTTTGCTAAAATAGGTAAAACTTGCATATACATTCCCTCACACTGGCACACAGGCCTTTGATATTACACAAAGGGGGGGTGAGAGGAGTCACCAGAAACAGAGTTGGGAACAGAACAGGCAAAAGGACAAAGTACAGTGCTGAGGGGCGCAGTGGGAGAGACAGCAGAGGTCTGCAGCGCCATGTGGTCACCTCCGGGGCTGAGAATCAAACTCATGCTGAAGTGGCTTTAGCTTCTTAGTACTGTGCTTTAACCTGCTATGCCACCAGGGAAGACCCCCAGGCATCTATTTCTAATTAGGATTTAGCAGAATAGAAGCTGATGGGAACTATATCTGGTCTTAGAGAGGAGGTCTACTGTTATGAGTGCTATCTCAATAGTTACCATGCTTCTAGAAGGCTCGAGTTTTAAGTATCTGCTGCTGTGACCACATGGACAAAATCGAGAAAATTAAAAGTTGCTGCCAGTCCTCAGTTTTCACTAATGTGGCTGCTGTGACATCTCCAACTATTTAAGACACAGATTTTTGAGACAAGAGGGGAAAACCCCACCAAGAATTTTGACTTTGAAAAATACAGTAGTTAGCCACACCTGACCCAACTTAAAGAATGGATACTAAGCTGATCTGACAGTGGATGCAAGTGATATACACTGCAAAATGCCACACCAGCAACATAGAGGCTGCTTTTATAGAAGAATATAAGTTTATATAAAGCAGAGAAGTAGACTGATGGAGGCTTCCCTTTGGGGTGAAGTGGCTGCAATGGCCTGGGAAGTTGGCCCAGCGTTGCTGTGTTGTTCTCTCACTGTGTGGGCACAAGAAGTATTTCTTCTGCCACGGGCATATGTTTTCAATTGGTTATTAAAATTTGACAAGGTTGTGTTCCTAATGCAAATTCATTTCAAATATATATTATTGGCTTCTTAGCAAACAACTATTTCACTAGGGATTACTGAAGTGTTTCTAAACTTGACATCTTTAAATAATTTTGTTTTCATTTAATGTCTCTACATAAGCAAGTTAAATTTATAGGGAGGTAGTATCCTGATTACAACTGTTCATTGATTTAAAAAATATTAATTAAGCAACCATTAGGTGCAATACTCTTGAAAATTCTGAGTCACTCTTCTCATCGGAAGTCCTTAAAGCCCTTATAAATAAATTATAAACTAGCCCCCTTAAGGTAAAAGTTCTAGAAGAAAACAGACTGCCAAACAATGTCACTGAAATTAGTGTTACAAGAAAACGTTGTATAATCCTAATAAGTTGAAAAATGTGGAGTTACTAGGAGAAAGACAGTTTCTTTGTTGCATAATTCCTAGAGCCTGTCTGTGACAATGTTCTAGAAGGGTGAAGGTAGTCTCCAGGTCTCCAAAATTCTTTAACCAAAGAGCTTTTGTTAGTAACTATGTAGAATTAGATCACCTGTGGAAGATGGTGACCTGGAGTGCTTTTCTCCCCTTTTTCCTTACCTTTTTCTCTTTTCTTCAGATTAACTAATTGGGAGAAAAACTTATACCTAAATGAGAGGAGAGAGAAAATTAAAGAAAACTGTTGTTGTTGTCAGAGTAAGACCTCAATGGCCAGGACAGTAGCAACTAGCCCTATGTGGCTACTGATGACTTGAAAGTATTGACATGTTTTTTGAAATAAGAATATACACCAGATTTTGAAGACTTAGTATTAAAAAAAATGTAAACTACCTCATCACATACAAAAATATTTTCATATATTTTGTTAAATATAATATATTGTTAAAATTAATTTAGTTATTTCTTTAATACTAGAAGTTTTGAAATAATGGGGTTAGCTCATTACATTATATTCCTAGAGGGTATATCTCGAACTTGAATATCCTTCAAGTCTCCCTGGTGACCAACTCCAAAGGCACATCACCTGCTCTGTGGCCCCTTGGCTGGGTTGATATATTTTGCTACACACACACACACCAGCAGTAACAGCTGCTGCTCAGCCTGAAACACCTTACCCTCT